TAGCTGCCACGTTTGCTCAGGCTGGGAACTCCACAGGTGCGCAGGAGTTACCAGAAGTTTCACAATCATGACCCTACCGTGCTGCCACAGTACCAGGAACCGAACAACGTGCAGCGCATCTATCTGATGGAAGGATGGTATGAAATAGGACGGCGCCACCGGGAGATGTCAGGCTTCTGATATCGTGTCGGATGAGTCAATTGCAGGGCGTCGGCAGCTTTTGTGTACTTTTCAGTTTAAGTTAGACCAGACGCATTTTATTCCGTCGGTGACGTCAGTTTCTCGAAATGCTTCTGAGTGAGTCAGATTTTTATTTGAAGCAGCCGGTTCGTTGGGAGAAATGTCATTGAAGTCACTGCTTGCTCAAATGAAATAAAATGATATTTTGCTTTGCATTTTAAGCATGCATGTCATATCATCTTTACTTTACACTATTCGGTCAAAATATGTGCACAATAAAGCCTTTATGACCTCAAAACACCTCACCCAGGGAACAGCATTTACAAATACGGAGCAGTTATCACCAAAACCCAACCAAACTACGCGTCTCAGTGCCGTACATGTTAAGACTTCCATTAACACGCGCTCGGGGGGGGAGTGAAATTGACCCCAAAGGTTTTTTCCGGAATGGTTTCCGAACCGCGCGGCGACCGAAGGGCTAACATCCTCTCGCGTGCTAAGGCTGAGAAATTTTAGGAGCCTTCTGGGAGTGCTTTTGAATATTGGGGCAAAACGTCACTGAAGACAGATGCTTGCATAAAACTTTGATTGTGCACGGGAGCTTAAATGTTGCTCTACACATACGCACATAGTATTGTGCAATATTTTCCAGTGGTTTAAGATGTTCAGACAGGTCAGCGGTTGGCCAGCTCGAATCCCCTCGAGTTAAGACGTTCAGACAGGTCAGCGCTTGGCCAGCTCGAATCCCCTCGAGTTAAGACGTTCAGACAGATCAGCGCTTGGCCAGCTCGAACCCCCTCGAGTTAAGACGTTCAGACAGGTCAGCGGTTGGCCACCTCGAAGAACAGCATGCATGCCCTGCAGCCGTTGGCACGGCGGATGCGGGTGGAGAGGACTCTGGAGTCGCTATGCTCATACCAGACTGCAAAAAGGGATGGCTGCAGTGGGCTGTGGAGTGGCTCGAGTGTACCACGCCAGAATGCCTGGCCACGGTGCACAGTTGCATTTGCAGCCTCCCATTGCAGCAGTATATGGCAACAGCTCCAAACAAATGGCGGAGAAGTCCAGCAGCGGTATTAAGCTTGCCTTTGTATTGATCCTGCTGCAGCGAAAACCGTTTCCAGCGGACACAAAAATGCGTGGGAGCCTCTGATTCAGGAATTTCCTGGAGCACATTTAACGCTTCTGGTGCATTGAGCACGCCGGCGTTTCTTCTCCGTTAAGCATTTCTACCTTTGTAGAAGAGGTCAAAGCAGTCCTACAATCTTGCCTGACCCATCACAGACCGGATCAAACGTGGAAGCGCGGTCACACACCATACAACGCAGCGTGGACTAGAGCTGTTGGATAAACAGGTCAGCGAACTTGAAGCTCCTCAGAAACAGCAAACCCTTCCAGGCCTTCAGCAGCCTTTGCACTGCGTTGGTTGTTGTTGTGGTTCACGTCCTCGTGCAAACCCTCCAGCAGGTATATCAAAAACTCCTATGCGGCTCGTTGCTGGCAGCACGCCAATAGGGGCGCAAACCGCTGGAACCGTATTTTCAATTTAGAGGTGGCCAGCGTCCGGTCCGCCTCATCCGAGGTCATCCATAGGTCTCCCTGCGCCCTACCGTCAGTCTTATCTTAGGCAGAAGTTTGGAGTTCGCGACCTCTCCGTTTGGCAACGCGGCTGGCTGTCGCGACACGCCGTCTTTGTGACGTATGAACTGCGCAGCTTCGCGCGGCTTCTCGTTTTACTTGAGCGACACCACCTCGTTGCAATTAAAGTACCAGACAGTTCGGCCCTCGGCGCTTTTGGCAGGCGCGTGGGTGTGACGCAGTGGTGCGAGGTGTGCTCGCGCACCCCCGATGGCCGCACTGCAGCCACAGTCCATACGCTGTTCGTCAGCTGATCAGGACCCGCCTTCCCTCCGTCTGAAGCGACCGTACAAGCAGACGCATCCTTGTTGGCGCATACACCCATCGGCCAGTCTGCCTTCATCGGGCATGTAATGTCCCCAGATTGACATTCTTGTCCACTTGTTGGTATACTGTTGTATTCTGTAGTATAGGCCGTGCACCGGTGCTTCTTTTTCAGAAATATATAAAATGATAGTCACTGAGACCGCGCTCCTGCGTTCAAGTCGTTTTATGCGCTCGCTAGTTGCCCTGGCTGTCATGGACTGCGGACGGTATCAGCCGGCACGGTAAGGCCCGTTGAAGTGAGGGGTCAGGACGGATAGTGCCGATTGTCGCGGCACGCTAATCCTTTCCCATAATACTCACCGCTGACCCAGAATTTCACGATCAGATGGTGGTGTCAGGGCTCACACAACAACCCCCGAAGCAACATGGGCGCTGCTACCAAAAACCGATGAAACAGAAAGGTGGGGATAAAACGTTCTTTAAACAATCAAGTGTCAAAATCGGTTCCTTGGTTTTCATTTCGTATATCTTGCTGAATTAGTGTTGAATGGCGACGAATGTCTTCCTCCCACTCGCCTGACATGCGAAGAAAACCGAACACGCAGCAGCTTCTTCAGCTTACTTCTGTTCTAGTCAAGGTTCACTAATGCACCGTCGAACGAACGAATTTACATCGGTTCGGCTCCCGTATCGTTCAGGGGCCCACAGTGCCTATCAGGGTATTCTGTGTCAACAAGGGGCCTCGAATCGGTCAGGGGAAGATTTGTTCAACAGGGACGGAGACGAAAGCCCGAATGACGAAGGGTCTCTCGCGTTGGTCGGGGCCCTCTGGCGATTGAAGGAAACAAGAACTTATGATGAGTGCTCACATTGAGGTAGTAGAACAGTCCTGTGCCAGTCAGGGCCCCAGCGCCGAACGGTGGGCCCTCCATCCCCTTTTCAGCCTGGGCCCGTTATGCCCAACTGGAGTCTATGTGCCAATTATTTTATCACCTGCGAAGAGCAGGGATGCTGTTGCGTTAATGACCGCTCATGCGTCAATTCGGGGTCAGGTGCGCGGGTCAGAAGGCCTCCCGCATCAGGGAACGGACCAGTGTAATATGATGTACCCCTCTCAGGGCCTCGACATCGGCTAGAGGATGCCACCCCGTGTCAGCAGAATGACGGCTGGAAAGCACACCGCAGTAGGACAGAATGACCCCTCAGGTCTTGACCGGGAACAACAATGTGCCCCGTAGTGTTGTACTCAAGGGGCTTCTTTACGGGAAACAAGGGGTCTCATTAGTGCCGAATGGAGTGGGTTTACCTAAGTTTAAAACGCACAAGGCCATGCCATCTTTCCCTGAAAACGTACATTACTTTGCAGCTTCGACTAGGAAAACAAATGCCATCAAAATGACTGGGCCTGCGCGCCGGGTGCCGATGGTGCAGTGGTTCACGCGCCTGCGTCAACCGCTGCGCGTCTGGGAAACCAGAGGTACGGGGTTCGATTCGCCGCGGCGCCCGCCCTTCCCGCCAGGGCGAGAGGCTGGCGGCGCCATATAGCCCCAGCAGCTGAGTGCGTCATAAAGCCCCGATGACACGGACGTAATATCGGGTAGCAAGGACAGCAATGGCTTGGGTCGTAGCTTTCGTAAAAACCGAACGGCGTTGGCCACTGCAAGTAACGCCACGTGGCGGGTGCCGAGCGCGCAGCAGCGAGCGTAGTAAAATAATGTTTCCGAATGTCTTTCGAAGTGAATTCGTAAAATTAATATATTTCACTGGGTGACCCTTTTTATTGCTTTGAAGATGACCTCTGAACGGCTGAACAGTTACAACAATATTGCAGATAGGAATGTTAATTTTTTTTCTTCCAGCTCCACAACCAGATTTCAGCACCATTCCGCAGTGCTGTAAAGACCAGTACGTTATTGTTATCAATCGAAAAACCGCACATGTGAAATATACGCCCGGAATGTCTCTGAACGTACGATTCGGAGTCCAAAAGTGTTCAAGATTACTTTTCCAGATCCGTCAGTATTTTCGTCCGCCACTACATTTGGCCATGATCTATTGTAAACTGCGGGGTAGACGCTGCGCGGCCTAATAAGGTTGCAACGCCTGACGTCTAGTTTTTGTTTCTGAGATATGCTAGCGCGCATGCTAAAAATTTCGTTACATAATTTGTACCACTAGTTAATTTTACCTGAATGTTGAAGATGTCCAGGCAAACCATGTTAGTGGTAACATGCTAACCATGCTAGCCATGTTAATACAAATTGTAGAACCATTTTGATCCTCAACCTACATTCGTGGAATCTTTGCTATTTCTGCACAACCCAGATAGAAATTCTGACAAAGTGTTTGAGTTCTGCCGGTTTAAAACAACAATCTACTGGACCATTGTAAAATGAAGAGCGCCGGAAATTATTCACGTGATCATCTAACGCGTATTTTTTCAGTTCATTTACTATAAACATAAAGCAGAATTGATCTTGCGTTGGCCTCTGGCCTCTATTCCAGTTCTACCAGGTTTAATGTGTAATATATATATATATATATATATATATATATATATATATAAAACATGCCCTGAACAACGAACGGGCCATATGCTGCGATTTCTGGGGGACTCCTCTACTTTCAGGGGGCCCTTTGTCAACCCTGTGTCCCACTTGCCAAGGCCCTGGGTACGCCCCTGCACGGACCAGTTATACTTTTGTTGTATAGGATGGTGTAGATCGCTGGGTTAAATGATTGGTATATGCAGTGGGACCTCTGTCGTTTTACCAGTTTGAATTACGCCATTGCCGTGCCCAGAGACTACGGTATACTAGCATCAACAAGCCCTGCAAACAGCATCATATTTCATTCATACTTGGCACAAATTCAACGCAGACATATTGCCATGCTGGCATAAAGTAACTGCAACGTAACACCGACCAGGATTTATTGCATTCATGCCGCACTTCAGTAGGGTCCTCGTAACTTACTCTTACAAGTCGAGGTAGGGGGGATGGAAGTATAGGGATGTTTCATCACGCCAAATAACAGCGTGCTCCAGAGTACTATCCATTAATGAGTAACCTCATCGACATCAAAGACATTCAGCGCCCTGGCAGCTGTAGTCAGCTAATTCCAGCCGAGGGCAGCCCTGATGGCGGCGATGATGGAGTCGATGTCGATGTTGTCGTCGCGCATAAACTGCAGCAGCGCCTGGTACTCGGGAGACTTCTCCAGGTAGTCTGCAGTGGCGGCCGCCTCGGGCTTCTCCAGCTCGGCGACCAGGCCCTGCATGTCCGGGTTGCTGGCCAGCTGCTGCAGCGCCCACGCGATCACACTCTGCTGGTCGACCAGCGCCAGGAACTCGTCCGCCAGCGACTTGAAGTCGCCCAGCTGGCGGCCATGCCGGCCGGCCGGTGCCGAGTTCCAGCCCAGCTCTTCGGCCAGCCATTTCTCGAACCCGTCGATGTCCAGACCGCCGGCGCGCAGGTAGTCCAGAAACTGTAGCGCAAACGCACGTGGGTACACATAAGCGAGCACACATCACATAGGCACATTAGACCTCTTGCACATCAGCGAGCAAAAGTCCAGGAACTGTAGCGCAAACACGCATAGGTACCCATCAGCCAAGCTGACGACAGAGCATCAGAAGATGGTCAGTGGTTTCCCACAACATGACACGGCTGGTGAACGGGGTGTAGAGAGCTACGGACGCATTTTCTTGAGGCATGCAGATTTTTATCCGGGTGGGTTTTTTTGCGCCGGAATGTTTCAGCACCTCAGCACAAAATGAGTGCGACACAAGCACCAGCCGGTGGGCCTTGGCTTAGGATGTGACTTGCATTGCCAGGAATAAGGCAGAAGACATACTCAAACGTGGAAATACACCAGGTGCTCGGTATTTTGTTTTGGGCTAAAAACGCGCATTTTGGCATCAAAATGCCCTGTTTGTTTAATCAACGCCGTAGGCAAAACTACATCTAGTTTTAAGCACGTTTATTTGAGTGCTCAGGCTAGCCAAATACACTTTGCAGAAATGAGATATTGATGCGGATCTTGGCCACCAAAATCTCTCCGTTGATGTTAAAATGGAAAAAAGCTTCAACTTTTTTCGTCGACTAAAAATTACATTCCTCTGGAAAAATGACTTCGCTTTTCAAGTTAATGAGAACTGTCTTTCGCAAAAACCTTCGAATGGATTGTGACTCATAGGAAAACATCTTAGTAAATCTTAGTAAGGGATAACTGAAAATCATTGATGACTACTTCTCTGTGGCGGGTCCTGTCTAACAATTCTTCTAGAGTTCATGGAGTGCGTTACTAGTGAGACAGATGAAGGTAATAGTGAAGATGTTGTTTATCTAGATTGTAGTAAGGCGTTTGGTAATGTCCCACACCAATGTCTGCAAAAACAGTTAAAATTGCATGGCAATGAGAGTTTTTTTTTGGCTGGGTAAGGGTCTGGGCGGTAGACAGGAAGCAAAAAATAACTCTCTATGGTACAAAATCTCAGTGAGGACTAGTAGAGAGTGGTGTTCCACAACGGTCGGTATTGTCCCCTTGCTCTTCATTATTTTAAAAGAAGTCAGGTTCAAAGCCTGTCATTGGGACAGGTCCTTCGGTAAGTTAGACAAAGGCTCGTAGTGCTTTGAATGGCAGCAATATTATCGCCAATGCATACTAATACAGCAGAGATAACGTATTTTGTCATCAGCGTGTCTTACGTCGGGGAAGTTGTTGCCATCGGCGGTGGCGTGCATGTAGTCGTAGAGAGCCTTAAAGTCGTCCGACTTGAGGTAGTCAATGACCTCCATCAGGTCAGCGTCGGCGGCAGCCTCCTTCTGCTTCCACAGCGCCACCATGGCGTCAAAGTTGACCTGCTTCAGGAAGTCCTGCAGCAGCGACTCCAAGTCACCCAGACCAGCCCGGACCGCCGACACCGAGTCCCAGCCGAGGGCGGCCTTGATGGCGGCGATGATGGAGTCGATGTCGATGTTGTCGTCGCGCATAAACTGCAGCAGCGCCTGGTACTCGGGAGACTTCTCCAGGTAGTCTGCAGTGGCGGCCGCCTCGGGCTTCTCCAGCTCGGCGACCAGGCCCTGCATGTCCGGGTTGCTGGCCAGCTGCTGCAGCGCCCACGCGATCACACTCTGCTGGTCGACCAGCGCCAGGAACTCGTCCGCCAGCGACTTGAAGTCGCCCAGCTGGCGGCCATGCCGGCCGGCCGGTGCCGAGTTCCAGCCCAGCTCTTCGGCCAGCCATTTCTCGAACGCGTCGATGTCCAGACCGCCGGCGCGCAGGTAGTCCAGAAACTGTAGCGCAAAAACGCGTGGGTACACATGAGCGAGCCCACACTACCTCATAGACACATTAGACCTCTTGCACATCAGCGAGCAGGAAGTCCAGGGACTGTAGCGCAAACTTACATAGGTACCCATCAGCCAAGCTGACGACAAGCGCATCAGAGCATGGTCAGAGGTGTCCAACAACAGAATGGGCTGTTGAATGGAGCGTGGAGAGCTACGAACACATTGTCTTGAGTCATGCAGTTTTTTTTTTGTCGAGGGGGGCGTTTGCGCTGTAACATTTCATCTCCTCAGCAGAGACCGAAGCAACACAAACACCAGCTGGTGGCCGTTTGATTATGAGATGATTTATATCATCAGCGATACAGCTGAAGACATATTCAAAAATGAAAACTCATCACGTGTTCGGCATTGGGGGGGGGGGGGGCAAAAAAGATATATTTTGAGATCAAAGTGCTTTGCTTTTTCAATCAACACTGTAAGCAAAAATATATCTAGGTCTGAGCACGTTCATTTGAAAGTATAGGCCAACCAAAGCAATTTTGCAGGAAAAAAAACACATTGGAGCAGCATATGCAGTATTCCATCGGTAAGAAATATGAACACATTATCTCTTACGCTAAAAATAGTGTACGAGTGAATAAATGCCAAATATTCGAGCATTTAACTAGCGAGTTCAGATGTATGCAATTCTCTTAGCGCTGCTCAGCATACTTCTACAACCACATCAGTTTAGATAGCAGCGAAGTACATTCAGTGGAGTTTTGGAAGCGCATGTCTTGCCTGGTTGGTTCCTATGCAAAGCCATACATCTGACGACAAATTTGGCCGAAAGCTGGTGCGGAACGACAGCCGTCCCGGGTGGACATAATGCATGTCTAATTGCAAGGTGGCCAGCGATTTAAAGTTAAAGATGTAAAAAGTGATATACCTTACAACTAACTCGTTGAAGAAACACAATCCGAGCTTACGTTACATGCGGGTCGCAATGCTTTGAAAAGAAGGAGCTCACACTTTTCGTGATTCATCAACAATGCCTTCATCCTATGTAAATAAGACAGTAGCAAAAACCCTATTTCTTGGATAAAATGGCCTATTTCGGCACCATGCCTTTATCGAAACGGGTAGCAAAGTAGGGCATTCACTTGCGTTATTCGTTTCGATAAAGGCACGTTGCCAAAATACCATCGCATCTATATCTCCATTTGTCTGGTTTTCTCCGGGGAATAATGCTATTACTACTTCATGCGTAGTAATATATCTACTACATGTTCCATATATGTACTGCATGGAACTGTCTCATCTTAACACATAATGTTCTTCTCAACTGCACCGAACAACTTATATCTGAATTCTCACGAGTGCTACAATATTATGTGTGGTAGCAGTTTGCTCCAGCTACCGCAACGTTCTCCCCATAGCCTAAATTTCGCCCAACGGATGGTGGTAACCCGGCATTAGAACAGCAAGTTCACGGGATTTGCTCCGTTTAAAACATTCCTTCGCCAGCAGGGGAAAAATAGCATGGTGTGCACAATAACACTGTAGTTGTGTATGCCAAGGGTTTGAATGATTTCGTTTCCTACCGATGACAACTGATTCTTCAAGACCCTCAGCTCAAAGCTCGCCATTAGGACAGGTTCTTTTGTAAGTTAGCCAAGGGCTCGTAGTGCTTTGAATGACAGCAATATTATCGCTGATACATATTCATACAGCAGAGATAACGTATTCTGTCATCAGCGTGTCTTACGTCGGGGAAGTTGTTGCCATCGGCGGTGGCGTGCATGTAGTCGTAGAGGGCCTTAAAATCGTCCGACTTGAGATAGTCGATGACCTGCATCAGGTCAGCGTCGGCGGCAGCCTCCTTCTGCTTCCACAGCGCCACCATGGCGTCAAAGTTGACCTGCTTCAGGAAGTCCTGCAGCAGCGACTCCAAGTCACCCAGACCAGCCCGGACCGCCGACACCGAGTCCCAGCCGAGGGCGGCCTTGATGGCGGCGATGATGGAGTCGATGTCGATGTTGTCGTCGCGCATAAACTGCAGCAGCGCCTGGTACTCGGGAGACTTCTCCAGGTAGTCTGCAGTGGCGGCCGCCTCGGGCTTCTCCAGCTCGGCGACCAGGCCCTGCATGTCCGGGTTGCTGGCCAGCTGCTGCAGCGCCCACGCGATCACGCTCTGCTGGTCGACCAGCGCCAGGAACTCGTCCACCAGCGACTTGAAGTCGCCCAGCTGGCGGCCATGCCGGCCGGCCGGTGCCGAGTTCCAGCCCAGCTCTTCGGCCAGCCATTTCTCGAACCCGTCGATGTCCAGACCGCCGGCGCGCAGATAGTCCAGAAACTGTAGCGCAAAAACGCGTGGGTACACATGAGCGAGCCCACACTACCTCATAGACACATTAGACCTCTTGCACATCAGCGAGCAGGAAGTCCAGGGACTGTAGCGCAAACTTACATAGGTACCCATCAGCCAAGCTGACGACAAGCGCATCAGAGCATGGTCAGAGGTGTCCAACAACAGAATGGGCTGTTGAATGGAGCGTGGAGAGCTACGAACACATTGTCTTGAGTCACGCAGTTTTTTTTGTCGAGGGGGGCGTTTGCGCTGGAACATTTTATCCCCTCAGCAGAGACCGAAGCGACACAAACACCAGCTGGTGGCCGTTTGATTATGAGATGATTTATATCACCAGCGGCACAGCTGAAGACATTCAAAAATGAAAACTCATCACGTGTTCGGCATTTGGGGGGGGGGCTAAAAATATATATTTTGCGATCAAAGTGCTTTGCCTGTTCAATCAACACTGTAAGCAAAAATATCTCTAGGTCTGAGCACGTTCATTTGAGGGTATAGGCCAACCAAAGCAATTTTGCAGGAAAAAAACACATTGGAGCAGCATATGCAGTATTCCATCGGTAAGAAATATGAGCACATTATCGCTTACGCCAAAAATAGCGTACGAGTGAATAAATGCCAAATATTCAAGCATTTAACCAGCGAGTTCAGATGTATGCAATTCCCTTAGCGCTGCTCAGCATACTTCTACAACCACATCAGTTTAGACAGCAGCGAAGTACATTCAGTGGAGTTTTGGAAGCGCATGTCTTGCCTGGTTGGTTCCTATGCAAAGCCATACATCTGACGACAAATTTGGCCGAAAGCTGGTGCGGAACGACAGCCGTCCCGGGTGGACATAATGCATGTCTAATTGCAAGGCGGCCAGCGATTTAAAGTTAAAGATGTAAAAAGTGATATACCTTACAACTAACTCGTTGAAGAAACACAATCCGAGCTTACGTTACATGCGGGTCGCAATGCTTTGAAAAGAAGGAGCTCACACTTTTCGTGATTCATCAACAATGTCTTCATCCTATGTAAATAAGACAGTAGCAAAAACCCTATTTCTTGGATAAAATGGCCTATTTCGGCAACATGTCTTTATCGAAATGGGTAGCAAAGTAGGGCATTCACTTGCGTTATTCGTTTCGATAAAGGCACGTTGCCAAAATACCATCGCATCTATATCTCCATTTGTCTGGTTTTCTCCGGGGAATAATGTTATTACTACTACATGCGTAGTAATATATCTACTACATGTTCCATATATGTACTGCATGGAACTGTCTCATCTTAACACATAATGTTCTTCTCAACTGCACCGAACAATTTATATCTGAATTCTCACGAGTGCTACAATATTATGTGTGGTAGCAGTTTGCTCCAGCTACCGCAACGTTCTCCCCATAGCCTAAATTTCGCCCAACGGATGGTGGTAACCCGGCATTAGAACAGCAAGTTCACGGGATTTGCTCCGTTTAAAACATTCCTTCGCCAGCAGGGGAAAAATAGCATGGTGTGCACAATAACACTGTGGTTGTGTATGTCAAGGGTTTGAACGATTTCGTTTCCTACCGATGACAACTGATTCTTCAAGAACCTCAGCTCAAAGCTCGCCATTAGGACAGGTTCTTGGGTAAGTTAGACAAGGGCTCGTGGTGCTTTGAATGACAGCAATATTATCGCTGATACATATTCATACAGCAGAGATAACGTATTCTGTCATCAGCGTGTCTTACGTCGGGGAAGTTGTTGCCATCGGCGGTGGCGTGCATGTAGTCGTAGAGGGCCTTAAAATCGTCCGACTTGAGATAGTCGATGACCTGCATCAGGTCAGCGTCGGCGGCAGCCTCCTTCTGCTTCCACAGCGCCACCATGGCGTCAAAGTTGACCTGCTTCAGGAAGTCCTGCAGCAGCGACTCCAAGTCACCCAGACCAGCCCGGACCGCCGACACCGAGTCCCAGCCGAGGGCGGCCCTGATGGCGGCGATGATGGAGTCGATGTCGATGTTGTCGTCGCGCATAAACTGCAGCAGCGCCTGGTACTCGGGAGACTTCTCCAGGTAGTCTGCAGTGGCGGCCGCCTCGGGCTTCTCCAGCTCGGCGACCAGCGCCTGCATGTCCGGGTTGCTGGCCAGCTGCTGCAGCGCCCACGCGATCACACTCTGCTGGTCGACCAGCGCCAGGAACTCGTCCACCAGCGACTTGAAGTCGCCCAGCTGGCGGCCATGCCGGCCGGCCGGTGCCGAGTTCCAGCCCAGCTCTTCGGCCAGCCATTTCTCGAACGCGTCGATGTCCAGACCGCCGGCGCGCAGATAGTCCAGAAACTGAACGCAAATGCACATGCTTACACATTAGTGAAGCTGGCTACAAATGCGTTATAAGGCGTTCAGTGGTGTCGCACAACATAGCGAAAATTGTGAAAGAATACGCTGGAAAAATATCGTTGCTGGCATTTCATAACAATTCTGGCGTACTGCAAGTCACATGGACCAGATACAAATGCATTTTAATCGCTCATCTGGTGTCATCCGTTTCTCTGGGCGATTTTGCCTTGCAACGGTTCGGCCTAAGACAGATATGGTATTTAAGAGGGAATGTGAAGAAAACTGGAGTAACATTTTCTGGAGTCATGTAACAACTTTGTATTTGACGGAATTTTATATTTTTATGCTGTAATGTTCTAGGACGAACTCACTGTGAAGCTAGCAACTTTTGACATTTTTTTAGTTATTGCATTGTTTGCACTTCCATGGGTACAGGCAAAGCCTATGCGGAGGTGGCAATATGCCAGATGCTGGAGATTTGCGCGGACCAATAACTGCCCAAAGATGAAAACATTCCGGCTTTTTCATGAAATTACGTGGTTATGTGGAGGCACTTTGATTTAATGGAACAGCCCGGGCAGTGCATTTTTTATCAGATGTTATGAAATACTCGATATTTGCAGCATGCATTTTTTAGTGAATATTCCATGATGGCATCACAACCTAGCTATAATATACCCTGGTTTATGTGTTATATTACAACAAACAAGAGATAATTGTAACTGAGATGTAACTATACATCAACACTGCCGTTGATGCTGCCGAAATGAAAACATCATAGATGAAAACGGTGTAATTTCAGTTGGGTCCAATGAATGCCTCGTTATAGCTTGCTTATTTCCCCGCAAGTTTACTGTAGCCAAGTTTGGAACAACCACCAGCCCCGCCGCGTCATTGTGCACATTCTATTCTAAACTGTGAGCATCTTCTAAAGGCAATGATGTGAAACCTATACCTTACTATGGTGCTATGTCGTCGTACTGCAGCTCAAGACTTAAGCACGCCAAAGACGCAACACCTTCAGGGGAGTAATGTGTTCACGTCTCGGTAGCGTGCACTAGATGTTTCATGGTCTTCTGGGTGATTTCATGCCATATTTGGCAACGGTTTTCTCATGGTGGGCTAATCTTTCTTTAAAGTACGCGATAGTTGGCACTACAGCTTTATGAGATCTCCGTTCAAAAAGCTGCGTCCTTGTCATCTACACAGGCAGGCATGAAATGCATAGCAATTCCGTCAATGCGATGTATCGGGTATGAAAGGTTCCCTTTTGGATCATTAATGACAACTCGCCCTAGAAGCAGCCATGTTCAAAACTACCGCTACGTGTAATCACACCAGTACATACATCTTATCACTGATGCATCGCGCATAGCAGGAGTAACTGGCATGATTTTACCACCTGACATACGGCTCGGTGATTTTGTCAGCAGCGTGTCTTACGTCGGGGAAGTTGTTGCCATCGGCGGTGGCGTGCATGTAGTCGTAGAGAGCCTTAAAGTCGTCCGACTTGAGGTAGTCAATGACCTGCATCAGGTCAGCGTCGGCGGCAGCCTCCTTCTGCTTCCACAGCGCCACCATGGCGTCAAAGTTCACCTGCTTCAGGAAGTCCTGCAGCAGCGACTCCAGATCGCCCAAGCTTGATACGACATTTTTGCTCTCTGTGAAAGGTTAACGAAATGTGAAGTTACTCATGGCTAACCAAATTTTTCGACAAGTTTGTGGGCAGTTCAAGGCCACGATAGGACGTAGATTGGAAGCCAAAGCTGTTGGCTTCCAGTTCCGGGTGCTTGAATATTCCAAAATAAAAAAAAACGGTAAAGATCACAACATAAAGCCTGGAGACGTCGAAGCATTTTTGCAGGTTAAGTGCATGCTCTTTTGAGAGCTTTGTTCCTCGTGAATCAAAGGACGGTTTCCACGTAAGTCGCACATATCCATTGCCTTAGGCTCCGTTGGCATGCAGCACTACGAGTTTTCGGAGCAAGCATGCGCATGAATCATCAGCTGCGAGCAAGAACTGAATGATGTTTACCACATTGCGAGTCCCTTGAACTCCGCAGCTGGCCATTTTCACCCAAACTACACCAGCAACTGGCCACTGTGCACACCCTCCCCCAAAGCCGATGAGTCTCATAATGTCCGGAGTCGGCTTGGTCTGGCCGTGACTGCAGCCATAGCCATGGCCGCAGCCGGGCCCGCCATCGCCGGCCGGGTCGGTGGGGACTCACTGGCTGCCTCCTGGTCGACGGGCAGCGCCTCAGCGGCACAGAGCAGCGCCAGCAGTCCCAGCACAGCGCGCATCTTGACGATGCAGATGGACCGAGGGTAGAGTGAGGCGAGGTGCGTTGGCGCACGCTATATACGCCGCAGACAGCTGGCGGCATTCCCACCGCGGCGGACCGTGCGCAGCTGATGGGTGGTACCGAGGGGCCAGAGCGCGTGCGCCCGGCCTTCTAACCTCCTGTTCCTGTGACGACGGTCTGACGCGAGGCGACACTCCTCTGGGCACCGTGAAAACCACGCCACATCTTCATCAAAGGAGATTGGCTGTTTCTGGGCCCCTAAATCATACCCTTTCGCGCGCACTTACCGCAGCGGAAGTACGCGCGAAGGCAGACTAGACGAAGACTACAAGACGCGAAGCATGCCTTTTACTTTGGTATACGCCGGCTGAAAAGCGCGCATGAAAGTGAGGCAGGGTTCATGCAGAAATGCAAAGCAATCAGCCTGCCAACTAACATAGCATGGATTCACTGTAAGTGTCCACCACGCAGCAATTTGTGGAGCATTGACGACACCACCCTATCGAGCAGAGAAAAGGGCGAGGCTACTGTTGGTACCAACGCACAGGTCAACGGTAAGTGGGCTAACACTAATTTCGAGTATACAGCGTGATCTGACTCCCCAAGTGAGAGTTCTGGTACGCTATAAAAAAGCTACCTCTCACAGGAATGGTGTGCGGATAAGGATGACACTTCTACACACTCCTCAAAGGTAAGTAGGCTTAGGTGAGTCAGGAAGCAGCGGACCCGCTTTTTTGGTTTAGTTTTGTTTGGTTTAGATTAGAGCTCCCTCAGCCATAGTAATGACCATCAATGGTGGGGCAAAACGACATGCATCGTGGGGGGTCCGCTTTGAGCCCCCCCCCCCCTCCCCTAAAGACACTTAAGCCCACTTGTGGCTGGGGCATGTAGCTTTCCCTGGTCAGATGGATGGTCTTGGAAGGCGACAGCAGAGGTCATCCTGGTCAGCGGCAAATAGCGAGCGCTAAAAGGGATTCGAACTCACCCTGCCACGGATGGGTGGATCGTGGGGCAGGTGGTCTAACCAACTGCATATATATATATATATATATATATATATATATATACAGATATATATATATATATATATATATATATATATATATATATATATACATCGCTTGAATGGTTGAATGTACACGTCACTACCCCCCCCCCCCCCCCCCCGTAAACGAATGCCACTCAAGAGTGCCATGTTCTTTGAAGACTTTTTCCTTGATGCCTCCGATGACTTCCATGAAAGATATACCGACGCACCGCCGACGATGATAGATGGTGTGCAGGAGTACCGCCGACGACGTGCGGTACAGCGGAGCACACGTCAGTGGTGAGGACAGTGGAATGCCCCATGATGAGGGATGACATGACGTCGCCGGTGCCGGTCCGCGATGACCCTGCGGTTGCTGCAGCGGCAGTCCCCGAAATCACGCGCGAAAAGAATGAATAAGGTCCAGGGAATGATGGCAGCTGTCATTTAGCAGGCGTTATCGCAGACAGTTCAGTCGTGAGCGTCGCCAGGCTTTGGCGCCTGTGAAGTCAAGCCAGTGCTCGAGGGCGGGGAGGGGGGTCAACTGTTGCTTGAGGGGGATATTTTCTAGCTGGGGTTCGAAACTGTGGTGCAATAGGCTTATTGCTGGGACCCGAAAGATTCCAGGCTCTAGAAGAGGCCATAGCCCTATTCATCACGACCCCACACCACCCACTGGCGACGCCTCTGACTGCAAGGTGTCTATCAGGTTGTCGTTGAACTACGACCAACGTAATCATTTCCTGAAAAAGCAGTATAGCACCGAACACCTAGGCGTCGACAAATCATTGGATTCATCGAAGGGCAACACATAAAGAAAGGGCGGTGCAGGGGTGGCAGAACAGGACAATCCGTAGCTAATCATGCCGAACCCATTAATCTGCGAGTTCCAGGGCTATTTCCCTTCCTTTTCCGGCAGCATTTCCGGCAATAACTGTCGAGGGACGAGGCAGGCGAGCCCAGTTTCGGATAGCCTCAGTAAACATCATGACGATTTATGCCAAACTTTGCCCAATATTTGTACAAAATCGTGCAACATATATCTTGGTACAAGTGGCCCTGGCAGCCTCGATGATATCGAGGTGGTGTATTGCATATTGTCGTAGATAACACCTTCGGCCGTCATATTTCTCGTAGTACTGCATCACTCACTGCAATGAGTTCCGGGCGTTGCATAAAGTCATCAGGTGCCATGCGGGTCACCATGGCCTCTTGATGGGTCATCTGAAGTTAATGGTATGCTTTGCTGCTCATGTAATTGCACATGACTGAAGTACGACAATATGAATATCTCCATGCAAACACGATCTACAGGAAAGTTTTTGTGATGAGTTCCAAAGTGGCGCCTATTGTGACACTGCTAGCGCTGGCGGTCATCCGCTTCCTACGACAACCCAAAAATAGCTTTCACCATGATATTCACGTTACCATCATTCCTCCCATGCACTTGTGGCTGGTTCGTTTCTAACATGGCCGCTGCTCTCGGAGTGTTGAGGCGGCCACCATAGCAACGTTAATCACTAGCTATAGCGGGCTCTCCGGTGGAGTATCACAGTGCTGTGGTTACGCAAATTAAATAACAACGCACTTTACCATCGTGCAATTTATGACGAAGGCAACGCTCATAGGAATACCTGTTGCATATACAGATGCCTTATTATAGGTATCTTATAAGACACTGAACACCATTTTGGGAACAGCATTCAGTACACTAGGTCCCAGACTTCCCCAGGTTGATAATGTTGCAGGTGCACAATAGACAGGGAGCTCACGGTTACGAGTTCGCCGCTCTGCCACAGTATCAGGAGCCAAAAATGTCGAGTATTTCATGCCGATGCGCTGTTGGCATACAATGTGATGATTCATCAGAAGGCTATAGACATGCTATTTTTGACGTGCAAACGTTCTTAAAATCGTGCAAACGTTCTTAAAATGGTAGTTCGTCAGGTAACATTTGTCAGGCAAACTTTTTCTGTATGGACAAATATCTGTTAGATAAAGGTTTGTGTTCTGCACAATTTCGTCTCACAGAAGTTTGGGCAAGGCAGAATTCATGCACATGCGAAATTTTGCACGCAAGCCAAGAGCTTTTGGCCGTTTGGACTAGCATGTGTTGCCAGTGACTTTATCCAATCATGTTGTCGTCGATCCCAGCCAACTCCTATCAACCTTTTCACACAGAATCAATCAGAATCCCACGGCCACCAATTTTGACACACAGAAGGCGCAGGTGTTTTAACCCAAGCGTCTGCCGCCGTTTAGGTAATGTCCGGACGGATGCCCTCTGATTTCACCGCGCCAAAGCCGCGTGTTTATTCTGTCCGAGACAAATGGCTTTCCAAACGAACCACCATCCCAGTCAGACATTCGCCATGAAAAGCCCTCGTGCGTCTACAGATTTATGCCCTGCACGAAATTTGTATGGCTGTCGACGTTTTTCAATCATCTATTTCTCAATGTCTTTGTTGACTCGCCCCCGCCTGAGTAAACGAATTCAAACAAAGTCTTGAACATGACGTAAAGTAAGCATTTTAGTTTAAAATAGCCTACAACGATTAAGATCAAAGTGGTCCAGGTCTGAGGAGAAACCGGCATTTAGTCACGCCCCAGCTTGAGCAGCTCAGGGTTGTGTCCAGGGTCCAGGGTCAGTCCAGTGTCACCAAAATTTGTTGCCAGGCCTGAGGCAACAAAGCTGACCTAACGCTACACGCAAACCATGATTTTTCCTCGGATTTCGACCGCTTCCATTTGGGTCCCTGGTATCAACATAAGGTAAAGCGTGTAGTCGGTGTCAAAATCATTTTGATGTTGCGGAATAACCTTCCATTTTAAGCCGATGCGATAGCGGAAACGATAATATATTTTAGTGATTATGTTAATAGTGATGTGCTTAGGCACCCAGTGTACCTCGTTGGCTCAATACTACCTTTTCCCCTCATGCCGTGGGGGCTCAGAAGAGCACTGAGGCGGCTCAAGTCAACATTGGGGGAATCAGGCCCCCGAAAGCACGCAAAGCGGCACCCCTGGCTGAGGCCAACCCAGTAATTTTCACAAACTGCACTCCTGATGAATCGGTGCCAGCGACGCCCACCGTTGTGCCCCGTACGTCACGTGACGTAGGTCAGCCACTCAATCCTCCGCCGCTGTTCGTACCCTTGACGTCACAGTGACGTCACACCCTACGACGAAGACGAGGTGTGCGTTTCTCATCGAGGAAACATACACCAGGATTATGATATGTCGCCGACACTGTTCGCCACGTCCGCCGTTGCCACGCCGATCCAAACGCAGGAAGGTTCCACTCGAAAATAGCTGGCGGCCGGCGGATCGTAACATCAAAAACGATGTCGTCCGTTTTGCCCATACTCAGCCGTGTTTGCTCGTGCTCTCGGCATATGTCTACCTTATCCAGCAGCATCAAGGTTTGCTGCCAGACTCAACATCATGGTTTCAGCGTCGCTGAAGCTCTTGTCTATCAAAGTCATGGCCAGGATTGTCCCGCCAGGCTTTCTCACTGCTGCAAACGTCGCACTTCTTCACTCCACGGACTTTTTTGCTCTTGTTACGCAAGGAGTGACTATGACGACGAACTAGATGGATATGGTCAGTTAGGCAGCAGAAGGGGAGGAGGCGGGGCCCACTCGAGTCAGCCCCAGTTAATGTGCGCTACGTTGAGGCACATGCTTATCGCTGACACAGCGCGCTGATTGGTTATGTTTCGAGAGCACGCACTCCAAATTATCCTCACCGCCTAATGGGGAGGGGGGGGGGGGCGGGGAGGGAGGGGGGACAAAAAGGCCGGCGTCCCACTTGAGCCACCACCTCCACGGTAAAACCAGGCAGCCTGTGCAGACGCAGGGCTGCGGTCCGCCAGAGTCGGCGCCCCGCTTGAGCCACGACCTCCACGGTAAAACCAGGCTGCCTGTGCAGACGCCGGGCTGCGGTCCGCCAGAGCCGGCGGCGCCACGCGGGACGGGAAAGGCCACGACGTGCCCCCCCCCCCCCTCCTACCGATACTGACGCCGGAAGGGCGGTACTTGAGCCCTCCGTTGATGCGTACGGTAGGCTGAGGCCGACAGAATCGTGGAGCGTCTGTGGGGGAGAGACCGTGACAGGTTTCACCACTGCTCATGCCGGCACGTTTAGGTATGTCATATTCTTGATGCACACTTTGCATGCCAGGATGGTGGTGCTTGATGATAGCTTGCGTGGACCGACCACGCGTAATGGTCACATATGCGAGTCTCCTCAGTGGCAGGCGGTTGAATTCTGGACCCCACTCTCGGTCGGCCCTCAGTTTTGCTGTCCGTAAAGGGTTTAACAAGGAAACGGGAATGAAAAGCGAAAAGTAGCAGCAGTGGGACTTTAACGCGGTGTTTTAACGTGGAAAACGCGTAACAGCTGCCGGCTCGGCGGTGTTCCCAGAAAGCGCGTTATACAGGCACTAAACACAATGAGATGACCCAGCCGGCGTTCCCGGAGTAAAGTTCGCTGCTGCGCGCGCTACGCGTCGCGAACCGAACTGGTGCCGGAACAGCCTCGATCAGCTGTTGCGGGCCACGTGACTTGCCACACCTGCGGCCTCAGTGGACGAAAATCCAAGCCGTGCGACGCTGATGACTGGCTGTTCTATTCTTCGAATTCGGCAGGCCTCAATTTTAAACTGCTCCCAGCACTTTCGGAGCTTCCAAAGGAGCTAAAGCGCAGCCAAATGTCTTTAAGATCGGACCTGTTTGCGCAACGTAATATGTAGCACCGTCGGAGAAATCTTCCGATTATCTCGCAGCGCTCGGCGCATGACTACCGGATTTAAGCATCCGTCAACTTTTCGAGCTTCTTCGGGGCAACCGCCCGGCTGAAGAAACACTCGGACCCAGCACAGGGTTGGTCGCGGAGACCACTGGGCGTCGTTGGTGGCGACTGATGACGCAATACCGTCTGTCCCTGTCTCCCGGCCGGACGCGTTGCACCAGTCCTCTTTCGTGCTATCGAGAGTCCAGAGTCACATTCTCAAATGTATATTGTGGCTAAGCACTACGTGCAATGGCGACAAGAGAGAACATCGTTACCTTACAGATGAACGGTAGGGCCTCAATTGCTCGCACGCATCTCGCCACAAACGATACGGAAAAGCGATTACAAAAGATCTTAATTGATTCGCATGTGCTTTCCCGATCGATAGGAGCCCATCGATCACTTCACTAGCAGGACCACAAAACGTTTTGACTGTCAACAACCAATTTTCAAAAAAAAAAAACGGGAGATGAAGTGACAGAACATGGATGAGCTCACTTTTACCAACATGAGGATGCCCCTGCCATACACTCACATGAGTTCAATGCAATGAAGTACGCAGCAGTCACATCAATGCGCACACCAGCTATCATCTGTACACGCCCCAATCCCGCGCATCTCGCGGAGGTGGCGCCGCCTATACGCGATCCCAGCGCCATACGGTGGCGTCGTCGCAGACGCAGATAATGGTGGCGCCGTCTGGCGACACCGAGGTCTGCCGCACGGCAGACGTGCACTTGGGGTGGCTGAGGACGGTGCAGCGCGAGTGCGTGGGGTCCGTGACGGCCAGGTCCCAGACGTATGTCCGGCCCACCTGGTTACCCAGCGCCAGGATCTGGCCACGCACATCAGGGTCAGACGCCGTGAATGGCAGAGACTGGCACGGTCACGGCGCACGGAGAGATCAATGAACCGAGTTCTGACATGCCTTCCATGATAACACGAAAGCTTACTCCAGCTATTAAAAACCTGCCTTACAGCCCAAAGTTGAACATGAATGATAGCAGTCCACCAGCAAATGAATGGCATGAAAGAAGCAGATGTTCTGAGTAGGGGATTTCTTTTTGACAATCCCGTCAATTGTCCCCCAGCGCTGACCAAAACACTAAGCCTTACAATGTGGCCTTCAGCAACGTTACCACGCATCCTAAGCAGCTTTAGGCCGTCACCGCGTCATGACGCCACCGGCCGCAACACCCGCCCCGTGAGCTCACCCGCTGCCAGAAGTCCATGGAGAAGCGCATGAACCAGATGTCGCAGTCCTTGTAGTCGAACATGTGGATGACCGTGACGTTTGTGTCTGTGTGCTTGACGCCGGCCTGGGTGAGCAGGCCCGGCTTCCAGCAGACGATGGAGTTCTCGCATGACTGACGGCCGGTGGAGATTGCGTCAGAGCGGGCGGCACCGCCACGCCTGGTCGGCGGGACCGGCGCACGGCAGCACTCACCAGCTACTCAAACCATCACGCTGCGTGGTGATACTGCGAATGTGAGCATCGCCACGGACGCCTGCTGCCGTTCTCAGCAGTCTGGGGACGCGCTGCGGCAAAGCTGGCGGCTCGGTGGCGACTGGCGACGCAGCAAAGGACGACCCAACTCCGCCCGCGGGGAGGGGGAGGGGCGGGGCAGGCGCGCATGACAAACGGCCAGAGCATAAATTGAAGGCTTGTGATTGGACGGCTCCGTTCAACGGCACTGCCCCGGTCACCCCGCCAGACATCAGAGGAGGGAGAAGCGTCCCCTCGGTCAGCAGGCATCTGAACAGGCCAGTGCACCTCGCCAGTGCACCTCGCTAGTGCACCTCTTTCGACAGGCCAGTGCACCTTGGTCTTTTCACTGACCTTATCGAAAACGGCATATCTCAATGTTTTCAGACTCTGAAAGAAGCCACATCTGGCGTCCCAACGGCTGGCCCCAGCCGGCACGACCCGACACGATACCTGACTCCGCGCCGGCTGACGGAGCAGCGAGCAGACCAGCCATCCCCCGCCTCCCACAGGGTCTCCCGCCCCCCGCCTCCCGCAGGGTCTCCCGTCCCCCGCCTCCCGCAGATCTGCCGTCCTCGCCTCCCGCAGATCTGCCATCCCCGCCTCCCACAGGGTCTCCCGTCTCCGTCCCCCGCCTTCCGCAGCACGCACCTTGGACAGGACGAACTTGCCGAACCAGCGCACGCAGTCGACGTAATTCCTGTGGATGTCGCGCGTGGAGAACTCGGGGAAGTGCACTTCGGCCGTGACGCCGCCGCGGCTCGGCTCGTACGAGTAGGACGCCTCGGCGGCGCGCACCACCTCCGGGTCGGAGAGGTTCCACAGCTTCAGCGAGTGGTCCATGCCGCAGGAGATCACCTGGTCGCCCGCCAAGTTGAAGTCCTGCGGGGCCAGAAGGCGTGGAGGTCGGGTCACGTGACGGGACCGGGGGGTAGGGGGGGGGGATCGCTGACTCCGGACCCGCAGCGTGTGGAGCGGGCGACGCCGCGTTGATGGCGGGTCCTTGTTGGACTGACACACCAGAGTCGAGCGCGGCATAACCACACTTACCAGACACTCCCATCAACAGGTTACCCCCGCCGTACCACGTGCGGCGTCAAACGATGGTCCACAGCTAAAGCTAACGTCAACCACTACAAACGACCCACGCCGCCCCTTCGTAACACAGCTGTTCCGAGGCGCAGTGACCCATGAATAACCGGGGTCATTCGCAGACCGACGGAGCAGCCAGCCTGCCGGCACGTACCGCGCTGAGCGCCTCGTCTCTGTGGCCGTCCACGCCGCCCAGTATCGCGACGCAAGCGCCCGTGGCCACGTTCCACAGCCGCAGCGTGTGGTCCTTGCTGACCGAGAGCAGCAGCGCCGGCTGCTGCGGGTGGAACTTGACCTCGTTCACGGCGTGGCCGTGACCTGGCGGCCGAGGACGCGACAGGTGAGCGGGTGGGGGGGGGGGGGGGAGGGGACACCGCGCGGCGCAGGCGGGCTCGCGTCCCAGCGTCGCCCCAGCGGCGACGCGAGTCGAATCCTCTCGGTGAAGACGGCCACAAAGCATATGCCAGGCTGCAGTGACATGGACCGCATTCAGAAGAAGCAAAGCGACTGACAGGTAACGCGAAAGCAGCAGCACAACTCTCTTTTCCAGCTGGTGACCGCCAGCCTCAACTAAGCCCCGCGCCCTTCCACACGCTCGCCGCCGGTGTGCGGATATCCTGCCACTCTCCCCCCGCGGGCACACGTGCACCCGTCAGGCGCCGCTCACCGATGAAGTGGCGGACGCAGCTCATGGTGACGGTGCTGATGACGCGGATGAGGCCGCGCGCGCCGGCCGCCGCAAGCAGCGGCCGCCCGCTCGCCTCCTCGTAGCTCCAGGCGCACGTGTAGAAGTTCTCCTCCGGGTCCGGGTCGGCGTAGCACTGGACCAGCTTCAGGGACGAGTCTGGCGGCGGCGGCGGCGGCGGCGCCGGTCAGGGAGTGGGCCGTATTGTGCCGGCGGAGTAAGGACAGCGGGCTCACTCGCTCACCTGCGATGTCCCAGCGGAATCCACCGCATGGAACGCACGCGCACTGGTTGGTCCGTAATACGGGAGCTTCCCACTCCCCCTCCCACACCTTTTTTAAGAAATTTGACCCGAACCCTTTGAATGGATGGACTTCTGGGATCAGTGCTCACGCCAAGCAGTGCTTGTTGTGTGAGCCCTGACCCCTACCATCCAATCGCGCAATTCCAGGCAACGGCAGAATTTAGTGGCGAAAGCTTAACGTGCCGCAATGCTCGGCACGGTCCGTCCTGCCCTCTGAAGTCAACTGACCTTAAGTACGACCGCTGCCACCGGCCGCAGGCCATAGCTGTCAAGGACAAATAGCGAGCGCCTAAAGCGACTCGAACCCACCCCGCCACGGGTGGGTGAATCGGGAGTCAGGCGCACTAACCAACTGAGCCACCGGCACGGACTGACCGGGACACCTGACAGCCAGTTTGTAAAACAGAGGTTTTCAGCCTCTTTCAGTGCACACGCACAACTTTCACTCGACTGCCTCGTAACACAGACCTCCCAAGCACCCGGCCGTAACAAAAGCACTTCCCTGACGAGACCTTTTGAATGGCCTGGGATCTGGAACGGTAGTAGCCAGCAGCCCGTCTTGTCACATGGCAGAGTAATCAATCGTCAGTGCCGCCAGAGCACGCAGTTCCGCGAGAACGAACTGCTCCGTAAGCACCCTCACTTCGAAATAAAACACGAAGACGTGCCACCCACCGGCCAGCTCGTAGACTGATACGCGTGGGCCGCCGCACGTGGCCACGGCCTGCGTGGCGGAGGCGCGGAGGTGCGGGTTGAACTGCACGCCGAACAGCGGCTGGCCGTGCTCCTCGCGCGCGTGGCTCGAGTAGCGGTACTCGACCTTGCAGTGGGCCGGCGCCGGCTTGCGGCCGCGCCGCCGCCGCCGCCGCTGTGTCGGCGTGTCGCCACGCGACGAGACGTCGGCCGTCGAGGTGCTGCACACGCTGGACGAGTCGTCCTGCGGCTCGTCCGACTCGTCCACCTCAGCCGGCCGACTGGCCGGCGGCTCCTTCATGTCGGACATACACGGACGGCTGCCGGCGAGGCGCGGGTCTGCGGTCAGACGGGGCGTGGGTTAACTGCGAGACAGGGCGCGGGTCAGCTGTGAGATGGGGCGCGGGTCGGCGGTCAGACGGGGCACGGATCGGCGGTCAGATGGGGCGTGGGTCAGCTGTGAGACGGGACGCGGGACAGCTGTGAGACGGGGCGTGGGTCAGCGGTCAGACGGGACGCGGGTCGGCTGTGAGACAGGGCGTGGGTCGGCGGTCACACGGGACGTGGGTCAGCTGTGAGATGGGGCGTGGGTCGGCCGTCAGGCGGGGCGCGGAGGCCGCAGGGGTGCTAGCAAGAATCCCTGGTGTTACAGGTAGCTGTCTTTTGGGGGCATCAACAAATTCAGAAATTCAAGTGAACATGCATGTATGAGCAAGCTATAGGTTTGCTAGTGTGTTGGTATGCAACATTGTTTAAGGAATTGCTCATTCCTGGTGCAAGAGATGCCAACATTGGTTTTGCACAATAATGGTAGGGATTTTGGCTACATCTCAATTCCATCAATCACCATCAATCAGGTCACTAGTGAGCACTTACCTAGGGAATAAATCCACTAAATAGTGTAAGATGTGTTTGGATCTGAGTTGTAATTGGGGAGGATTTATATCTTTTGGATTACATGGTGTGTGAAATTAATTTTTGTTTAAAAACAGACTGCCAAAATCTTGTAAATGCTGGACTATGAAGTGGCTTCCATTTGGCATCAAGTTGATTTGGAAGATTTTTATCTTTGGCTGGTTTATGTTTATGTAACACTGCTTGAAATTGTTATGTTGCAAGATCCAGCTTCATAGTCACATATCGCTACCAGTGCTTGCTCATGACCTTGCAAATTTTTAAGTGACAGATTTTGGGTATGAAATGCTTGGCTTACTTCCTCCCTAACCAATTTCTCAGACCTAAATAAGCTTTGCAAACCAAAATAGGGGAAGGTCTTTACAGTAGCCTCAGACCAGAAATGTGTTGTACCGTACCAGAAACAATGTGTGGTTTACCTCAATAAATTGAGCAACTATCATATGTCATTCATGCATATTTAAGCCACAGCATGGCTCATGGAATCATAGTAAGTTAAAGGGTATTGCAATGTGCTAGGGGCAGTAATTTTACTTGATCATTTTGAAGGCTGAGCCAAGTGTCAGATGCCTGAGCTTACCCCTCAACATGCATTTTTCAATATGTTTGGCCCACTTCATTTTGATGATAAGCACTTTTAACCCTTGATTTTAGCACTGTTTATTCAATAGTCCCAAGTTTGAGCAGCATGATCATGTTGCAAGCAAACAATATGTCAAGAAGACATACTTTGAGTGATTGCCAACTTCTTCCTAATTTTTAATATTCTCATTAAACATATTAGAGAAAAGGCAATAAAGCATTGAATCATAATTCATCATTGGAATGGGTGGAAAGCCTTTCACATGGTTGATTACAACTTGACATCCCTGCTCTGCACCATGACATGTGTACCATGACATAGGAGAGTTATCAGTTTAAAATTTGAATTATATTCTACAAACAGAGTATGATATATATATATATATATATATATATATATATATATATATATATATATATATATATATATATATTAACCCCAGAAAAGACAATACAGCAGACTACCCCTTTTTAATCCATCTTTTAAAATGCTTAGTCCCTTAGCAGGCAAACAATTTATAACATTTTGCACCACTCTGCCACAGCAATTCCAGACAGCAAATAAAGAAGCCAGAGACACCAGTAAATCCATCCACAAGTACCGAAATAGGTTCATTTAATGGAATGCTAACACAGAAAGATGACTAAAATTGCAACATACAACATAAAAAATACTTAGTCTGTATGCAGCCTATGAATGGAGTGTCCATCTGTTAACTGTGATTACAGCTGCCAGAGTACATCACTTTTGCCACAAACAGTGCCGCAAGGACACATGTAACTTGCTCCACGCATAATTTCGAGCTACATACAATACCTGGAGCTAATGATCAGTTAAACATAGTTGAGACAACGTTAAAAGGTACGGTTTCCCTCCCATATACTCGTATACATTGAACACAGCAAACGAACACAGGGGCAAAAGACTGCAACAACCCAATGGAGGTATCTACTCAAAACCAAAGCAACTATTACCAACGTACCAACCGAACCACAGATCAAACCGACCTCCCCACGCGCGCGTAACTCCTTGTCCGTGATGGCGTCGTCAGTGCGCCACAAGTACGTCATAAATGTCTCAGCTCATCCAAGCCCTGTAAAATACTGTCTATTTTTACGCACGTCACACAAAGAGTATGTCTCCTAAAACTGAAGTGAAGCTTTCTTCAAACCTGTTAATTTTCATCCTATCCTATAGAATTTGCGTGAGATGATTTACCCTTTTGTTTAAGTGAAGGTAATTTTAAATTTTAAGTGTTTTAGGTAGTGCATCATGTTCCAAAATTAATTTGGAGACCGATCAAGGTGATATAACCTACCCCAACCCATGGTTTCCTCCAGTCTAGCCACTTTAATTTCCGTCCAGAATGCCAGCATTAATACGCTTTTCTAGTATTTTTAAATTCCAAAATTGTCTTGATGCAGAGAAAAGGCTTCCTGATATCAAGGCTGTTTAAAGCTTGAAATATGTACAATTCAGAGAAGAACAATATATATAAATCGACCAGCTTTGATCAACGAAAACAAGAATCTTTTTCAAGATTTAATCCGACCCTTTTGATATGTGTATTACGTGGGGGAATTTTCATTAGTCATGATATCGTCGTCGTTTCCTTCAACTTTTTTGTCGTCAGTGTAACTTTGGATACTGGTTCCTAATTTTTTATCAGCAATTTTGTCATGCTTATCCGACAGATTTTTCACTGACACCAAACGGCAATCAGGAAATTGCCTAAGCCCAATTTGCATAAAAGCAACAAGCGCCGTGACTGACTTAATTCATATGAAGTTCCCAAATGTTTTTTTTTTTTTGGAAGTTGCTTTCCCACACATGTCGTGGTGCATGCATAATGTTATGAATACTCCTGTCGAGATAGCAGCCGTGCTCATAAATAATCAGCCTCAGAAAATAAAGAAGCCCTTCGGGAGTGATATACCTATCGGCAATAATAATATTTCCTCACATTGAATATAAATGTCATAGTTAATGACGGCTGTTGTCTAGATGACCCACTGCATTGATCAGCAGGTAATTACCACTTAGGCAATTCCCCGTCATGAGCCGACTAACAGGAGGCGACTGCAAATTGTGGCGAATACATTGACGCACCAGCATTACATGGGCTTTCACAAAACAGATGATTACGGCCTAGTATGGGCAGCAAACGTCATTTGACTGGGATTCCGCGACTAGCATTCATATATTCACACCGTCTCGTGCATGCTTGTCACTGGTTATATTAAAGGGAGGCCTATAGTATGGCCTCTAGACAATATCTGCAGCTTATGTGCAACGACCAAACCCCAACAATTATGAGCGGAACCGTACAGCCATGTATCACGCATACCTCGGACTTAATCCCCAGTAAATAGCAGCCACCTGGTACAAGGCTCCCCGCGGCATCACCGGGTAGTCTCCACCCCCTCTCGTCACAGAATAATGCCGGAATCCTCATCGGCACGCCGCAATCCCTGTGATCGGGTCATATGTGCGAACCTCGTCTTCTGGAGCCGCTGCATTAGTTCCAACAACGGTACCCTTAGTGAGCGACTTCTCTGCCGCTGCTCAGGGTCAGTTATTCATGGCCATTTTAGCAGACCCCTTTCTGTGGCCGCCTGTCAATCCACCAACAGAAAAATCAACCAACTTTTCCGACAGACCAACGCCCTTTTCCGGGTTCCACCTTCTGGGAGTGGCAAGAGAGCAGCTGAAAAGCGACTCTCGCGTTCTGCGAGTCGCGAATCCATCAACGGCATCCTAAACGTGCTGCTGCTACTCTCGTTAGCGGCCAGTGACGTGCAAAAATGCGTCCCACCTCATCTTTGAGTCGCGGAGTGATCGACCAACAGCCTACTCCCTAATGTCTGAAGGTTAGGGGGACCTTTGAACCCACGGCTAGACAACTGCCTACGTGTCGCGTAGGACTTTCTGCACCGCCCCCCGCGAGGAGTCATAACACAAAGCATCTGTGACGAGGAGTCATAACACAAAGCATCTGTGACGAGGAGTCATAATACAAAGCACCTGTGACGCATTCAGCCCGTGGTGACAAAAATCATTTCATTTTGGTGACACAAATCACTTTCACTCGTGGAAAATCCACAGTCGCTCCAAGCTGGACGCAGTATATGAGCTACGCGAGATTATTAGTCTGACGTGTCATGTGGACCTGACTGCTGTGCGTCATATCTCCTGGCACAGAATTCAACCCACACCTTATTCATTGATCTACTGTTTCTCTACGCACTGTTTATGGAAACAAATAGAGTAGTACCAGGCAGGGCTTGGAAGGCCATATAACGACACACATTAGCGACGGATTTGTACACAAGGCTTGCTAATTACCGCGATACGATGCAAGCCAAAAGGAGCGCACGACATATAACAAACCAAAATTAATGTGCGAGCGCGTAATCTCAAAGGACGCACAGAACGCACCTCCTTAACTGTCCAAAAAAAGCGGGAAAAGGCCGGGAATCTCAGAATCACCGAGGGGTCGGCGACTCCTCCGCTGGGCTTACATTCTGGCGGGGCGAAGGCGCCGAGTGTCCAGCCGTCGACACGCCAGGCTGACAGGGACCCCGCACCGTGCCCGTCTCACTGTCTGAACGTTACCATGTACTGTTTGAACGTGCCCCCGTGCTCCAACGAGGCCGGCGTTTTTAAGGCGCTGTCCCCAATTGATCGTCCTGGTGCGCATGGTCGGCACGAGCACTCGGGCCAAACGTAACAAACAAAAACTGTACTCACACCTTGATAAACAGCATGTGGCCCGCGTCGGGTAGATACGCCACGCGCCGCAGATGGTTCTCTGGAAGCCCAGCTCGCACTCAGCAGTACTTGTGTGCGGCCTGTCCCCCCACCATCCGATCGCACAATTCCAGGTCAACGGCAGCATTAGGTGGCGGATGTTTAACGTACCTGATGCTCGGCTTGACTGGACGCCATTTTTGGTAGTACAGCCAGATGGAAGATATACTGCCAAATTGTTTTTAATCGGTCTTCTATCAAAATGTTAGCAACTGGTCCCTTAGATCAGTTGAATGGCGCGCCTGCCTCTCATTCACCCACCAGCGGCCGGGGCGGGTCCGGATCGTTCCAGGCGTTCGCTGTTTGACCCTGAGTGGAACAGCCTGCCGCCGGCGGCAGCGGCCACGCTGGCGGTCAGGAGACGTCAGAGAACGGGTGACGTCAGAGAGCAGGGTGGGCTATGCCAAGTTTTGCGTCACGTTAAGCTATCGCAGGAAAATGCTGCCGTTGATTGGGGATTTTACGATCGAATGGTGGTGTAAGGGCTCACGCAACAAGCAGTGCTGAGCGGGAGCACTCGCCTGGAAATACATCCAACCAAATTGTTTCCCAATATTGTATATTTAATTATAAATTGTATACCAACCAACCAATATTTGTGGCGTACGGCTAGTGTCACTTTTTGGACCAAGTCCCAGCTCCATTTGCAGCGCCTGCGCACTGCGAACGGACTGAGGGCAATACAAACACGAAAAGATATAGTATCTGACGTATCAATGGCCTATCAATGCTGGTCTCCCTGACGACGAAAACAATTATCTCAGTGGCGTACCATGCTTCCACACTTTGCCATGTACTGACCTTGTCACTAAATTGCTGATGTTGGGCGTGATGTTTCACTGCTTGTGGTAATCAATTAGACATAAGGCCAAAATGAGTCTTTCGACCACCAGATTACGGCATTGCATTCCGGAGTGTCGAGGTGCAAACTACGATCAATCATGAAGGGAAGAGGAGAAAGGTTCCTGTGAACCTCCCTGGCTGCACCGTTGGGCCTTTGCAACTTTTTGCCAACTCCCAGTACGGTTCATGCCACGAGGTACGAATGAATGAGGCATCTCGCAGCACGACTCATGCTGCAGCTATGTGCAGGTACGAATGAATGAGGCATCTCGCAGCACGACTCATGCTGCAGCTATGTGCAGGTACGAATGAATGAGGCATCTCGCAGCACGACTCATACTGCAGCTATGTGCAGGTACGAATGAATGAGGCATCTCGCAGCACGACTCATGCTGCAGCTATGTGCAGGTACGAATGAATGAGGCATCTCCCAGCACGACTCATACTGCAGCTATGTGCAGGTACGAATGAATGAGGCATCTCGCAGCACGACTCATGCTGCAGCTATGTGCAGGTACGATTGAATGAAGCATCTCGAAGCACGACTCATGCCGCACAGGCACGAAACACTCAGAGCATGGATTTTAGGGTACGCGGCTAATTTGTACCTTTGTGATTAAAACAGCCTTTATTCGCCGTGTTGCTTTGGCCGATTTCTGGCTTGTTTGCATCTCTTCCGGACCTGATGCACTGCATATATCGACACATTGAGCTGAGTTCTCCGTCCACATCACCTGTTGACTTTTGTTCTCGTCGTCAGGCTCGGTGCGTTCCACTAGAGCGTGTCGGCTGGCACTGCCCGCTTGATTAGTCGGCCGTACACCCGCGACGGTGGCTGTTGTCCACTGACCTTGGCGGGTCGCACGAGGACGGCACCCTGGACTGGGGGGGGGGGGGGCGCGGTCTGGTCCGGCGAGGACATGGTTCGGCTGGGGCCGACGGCCGTTTGATGGATGGTGACATGATGGCATGTCAGTGCAGTGCACTTAACTTGTGAATGCTGTTTATTGTTGACTTGGCTGCAGCCGTCGCGGTGGGGGAGAAATGTTTTGAATTCGGCAGTGAGCCATGCCTGAGTTCACTGAAAAAGCAGTGCCGTTGATTTCATATGGCATACACCAAACACCGTAAATAAACGGCTTTGTGAAAATTTTAGGGCCACGCAAGAAAGATGCCACCTGGATCTAATTTCATCCCCTAAAATTCAGTTGCACTTACCTTTTTACCCACTCTCAGATGGTACTAAACATAGTCATGTGCAAACGACTGAATACGCAGTTATCATT